GGGGAGAGGAGGGGGAGGGGGGGCAGGGCGGGGCGGGAGGGGGTGGGGCGCGCGCAGCGCGCCGTGCTAAACGCGCTTGCAACTTACGTGTTTAAGTCCATCATTTTTATCGAAAACTGTCACTCGTATAGTAAAAATGAATAGGACATAAAATGTATATTTTAAAGAGATCTACAACTTTTGTTTAAAACATTTTTCAAAATTTTTAATATTTGTGTCTAAAAATTACATATAATTGGTTGACATTGTTTTTTTAATAACTTTTTAATAAACAACGAGCGCCGGCTAAATCCTTCTGAAGGTTACTCAGGAGGGTTTAATATATGTCTCTATAATATATGTCAAGCCCAAGGTTATTGGAGGTGGGTGTGTTAATCTAAATAATTACCAATAATATTGACAGAGATACCAGGAATATACTTCATGTGAACTGGAGGATGTTAACATATATAAAGGGGATATCTAGAGGATGAGAAGTTTGAGGAGGTGAAGACTGAATCTGGGCAGTAGCGCCATTGGGATGAATGAATTATTTAATATCTACCATTATTTAAAATTGTGAATAATGTATATCATTATTCGATTCCAATTCATTGCCCATTTGTATCAAGATAACCATGTAGGTCGTCAAGATTTTCAAAATCTATAAACAAGAAAAGTTAAATGTACTGCATTTATTACATGATCGGGGTAAATTTATAAAACTTATTTCCACACAATTTATAAAAAGTGCTAAGAGAACATTATTTAGCGTTTTTAATTGTAAACTTTGTCGTATTTGCCAAAATGATCGATATAACGACAACCACCCGTATGTAACAATTTGATACGAACCATGCTTAAGACACGATTGTCCAAAGTAAGACTAAACGCAGAAAATGTCACGGGGCTTTGCAAAATTTGAAGGCCAAACTGTTGAATCTGAAACAATTTCAAGCGATAATTAAATAATATATAGCAGCAACTATATGTTAATGTATTGAAAAAAACGAACTTCTTCCTTTATATCAATATCTGTATTGCAACCATAAATCGAATGAATTATTTCAGCGGTTCTGTTTCCCTATAAATAAATGTTATGTAAAAGTTATTTTATCTCGATCGTTAATTCGATTGTGGACTATAAAACCAGTTACCTCATCAGCTGCATTCTTGCAAACGCGATTCAGAATAAAGATTTTCATAACGTGATAAGAACACAATAACAACGTCATAAACGTATGTTCTGTCCAATATTTTATATCGTGTTTGCTCATAATGTAGTGAATATACAAATTATAAAGATACCCAGTGAGGACTATCATAATTACTCCTATGTCCCAAGCTATTTGTACTCTAAGAATACTGCATACTATTTTTGTTACTTTACACACTTTCAGATGTACCTGCCTTAAAAACACTCAAAGATAATCAGAAATATTTTTATTGAATGTTGTCTTTTGTCGCTCAATATTTTTTAAGAAATTTGACTTGCATACTAGGTGGGGTGAAAAGTAACCTCCTTGACCGCCAGAATGCACTGCAATAGCAAAAAAGATTATGGTGCTTTATAGTCCATTCATATTTAGGCAGACATGTCAAATTTCAGCGCGATACAGCCATTTGTTTTGTTTTGACAGCCGATTTTTGTTGACGTGTTTGGCATCATGTTGAGTATGGAAAAAAACGATTTTCGTTCTCTCATAAAACATTATTTTTTGAGTGGCAAAACAGTGAAGGAAACAAAAGAAAAGTTGGATAAATATTATGGGG